CACCGATGGCCAATCAATCGTTCCTTTCTACTTTGCCAAAGGTGGCTCAAAAATATCTTCCCCAGTCTGTCTATCCTAACGATATCCCTTCCCGCCTTTTCAACCCACCTCCTATGCCCCAGTACAGCTACCGTCCTTTCCTCTCTATTCCATGCCTCAAACATCTCCCTGTACGTTCCATCTATTTTTCCCAGCTCAGTCACGTACACTTCCCTCTCCTTCTTGTACAACGGACATTCCGCGACTACATGAACACGGTCTTCGCATTCGAAGCCGCAATCACATTTGAACTCGTCGTCTTCCTCGTCTACCGTCCTATGTCTTCGTCGACGTTCTCGAAGGCCTATGTCCCCGGTCCTGAATTTGACCTTAAGCTTTGTTCCTGCATCCATTGGTCCATGTAGGTAGTCCTTGAACCCTATTCCTTCCTTCAACATTCCGTACACTTCTAGACCCTCCTTATCCTTGGATTCTTTCCTCAGATTCTGTTCTTCTCTCTCGGCACAAGCAACAGATATCTTCTCCTTGAACCCCTGTAGACCCTCCGTTTCCAGCGTTTCATCTTCGTCGATGTCGAGCCCCTTCCATACGTCCTCTACAACCTTGACCCATTCCGTGGGTTGTCTACCCCTCTTTTTGTTTGCCCACTTCGCCTCCCATACAATTCTCGGCAACCTCTCCTCTCCCATCCCGCACATGCGATACTGCCAGGTCAGCTTCCTCGCGTCTCTTCCCGACCGTAGGGATTGGATCCCCAATTCTGCCCTCACGGCTGCATTACTTGTGCGCCTGGAGCATCCTAGGATGGTTTTCGCTGCTTTCATCTGCGCCGCCTCGAGTTCTTTCACTACCTTCTTATTTCCTTCCCATACTTCTCCGGCGTACTCTAGCGGCGGTACGATTACGCTCTTCAAAACCGTCAATTTGATGCGTGTATCGAGGTGCCGGTTTGCGAGTATTGGGTGCAGCTTCCCTGCTCGTGCTTTGCCCTTTTCCGCTACCTTGGACATGTGTGCATTCCACGAGCAGTCTTTTGCGATCTCTACTCCGAGGTATGTGTACTGGTCCACTACTGCAATCTCCTCGATCCCCCACTTCCATCTATGTTCTACTGGTTCCTCCTTGTTCTCGTTGCATACCATGACGGCACTCTTCTTAACGTTGGCAGACAATCTCCACTTATCAGTAAACTTCTTCGCCGCGTCAATTTGCAGTTGCAGTCCCTCAGGGGTGTCCGACATACCGACAAAATCATCCGCAAACAGCATTCCTGAAACCGACGTTTCCGTGTCCCCTACTTTTACTCCCTTCCGGACTGCCTCTACGACTTCCAACAGATCGTTGATGAACACCTGGAACAATGTTGGGGACAGCGTGCAACCTTGTGGGACCCCCTGCTCAATGTCGAAGAATTTTGACAGTTCTCCGTCTAGCATGACCGCGCTTTTCGTACACTCTGTCATCTTCTTCAGCACTCTCCACATTTTCCCCTTGATCCCGTATTTGGACAGTTGTTTCCACAACCCATTTCTCCACACGGTGTCGTATGCCTTTTTCACGTCCAGGAAGAAGCAGTACGTCGGCTTTCCCGCCCTCTTTCTACCTTGGATGATTCTCCCTACCGTGAACACGTGGTCTACGCACCCCCTCTTCTTGCGGAAACCTGCCTGGCCCTCACTAATGCTATGTTCCTTCTCCAATACTCCCACTATCCTATCGTTCAGCAGCTTACAGAACACTTTTCCTACTGTGTTCAACAGTGTGATCCCCCTGTAGTTTCCTGGGTCAGTCTTGTCTCCTTTCTTAAACAAGTTCACAGCCGCTCCTTGCCTCCATCTCCTTGGCGTATACCACT